GTCAGGCTACAGATTCCCGCCTGCCTCCTCCGTTCAGTCTTGTTGGTCATCCGTGCTCAGATCTTCTCTAGTCCCACACGATCTCTTGTCACGCCCCTGCTATTTTCTCCTGACACACTTCACTGACACACTTCACTGACACACTTCACCAACACACTTCACTCAACACACTTATCTTTATTCATCTCATTTGCAATCTTCATACACATTAGCTTGTCCCACACACACACACACACACACACACACACACACACACACACACACACACACACACACACACACAATATACTATATATATTTATTTTTTTATTTTTTCATCTCATAATTTTTCGTCATTATAACCAGTAACTCCCCACACACACATCGGAGATAAGAAAGGTCTCGTTCTCACGTCTATTCAACGAGGTGTCTCCTTATCTCAAAATATGAGAGATATTTTTCACTCTGGAGATTTTATTTAGTGCAAGAGAAAACACATCGTGAAAAAGGAATTCCAGAGTGGTTCTAAGGCACTATTACCATATCTCTCTCTCTCTCTCTCTCTCTCTCTCTTGCACGAATATATGGGTGTATTATTTTACGACATACAGAGAATAAGGTGTATACATTATGACACAGAATACGTGGCTGTATACATGAGACAGAATACCGAGATGTATATTCTAGAAGCACGATTACATGGGGCAGCTTCAGGCAGGTAAACCCTCTAATTGCCTGGCCAAATACAGGTGTAATTACAGGACCCAACCACAGAGAGTTTGTGATAATTTTGAAGTAAAAATAGTAAGATATTTGTGGGCCTTGGTGGTGGTGGTGGTAGTGGTGGTAGAACGTGTTGGTGGTGGTTGTGGTAGAACGTGGTGGTTGTGGTAGAACGTGTTGTTGGTGGTGGTGGTCCTCCTTCCCCCACCTCCTCCCTCCCCTCCTCCCTCACCTCCTCCCTCCCTCCCCCCCCCCCTCCCTCCCTCACCTCCCCCTCCCCTCTCCCTCCCCCTCCCTCCCCTCCCTCCCCCCTCCCCTCCCTCCCTCCCTCCTCCCTCTCCTCCCTCCTCCCTCCCTCCCACCCTCCCCCCTCCCCCTCCCTCCCTCCCCCTCCCTCCCCTCCTCCTTCCTCCCTCACCACCTTATTACTCCTACCTGCGTTAATTTGGCAGTAATGTGAGAACTGAATAACGAAGGCCGTTTAGAAATAAGTGAGAGGCGAGGGCAGTGAGTGGTGTTGAGAGGCAGGGGCGATTGAGAGTGGTGGTGAGGCGAGAGGGTGGTGAGAAGGTGGGAGGGGAGTGGTGATGAGAAGTGAGTGGGCGTGTGAGAGGGTGGTGAGTAGCGAGTGGGCGAGTGAGAGGTGGTGGTGAGTAGCGAATGGGCGTGAGAGTGGTGGTGAGGAGGAGTGGTGAGGGTGATGAGAAGGTGGGCGTGTGAGAGGTGGTGAGAAGCAGGGGCGTGTGAGAGTGGTGATGAGTAGCGAGTGGGCGTGTGAGAGTGGTGGTGAGTGAGGAGGCTGTGTGAGTGTGTGAGAAGCGAGGGCGTGAGAGTGGTGGTGAGTAGGAGGGCGTGTGAGAGTGCTGAGAAGCGAGTGGGCGTGAGTGGTGATGAGAAGTAGGAGTGGGCGTAGTGGTGGTGGTAATGGAGTAGGTGGTGGTAAGTAGTAGTGGATGGTGGTAGTAGTGGTAGTACTAGTGGTAATGGTGGTAGTAGTGGTGGTAGTGGTGGTAATAAAAAAAATTGGTGGTAATGGTAGACTAGTGGTAGGGAATGGTGGTAGTAGTGATGGTAATAGTGATAGTAGTGGTGGTAATGGTGGTAATGGTGATAATAGGTGGTAATGGTGGTAATAGATGTAGTATGGTGGTAATGGTGGTAATAGTGGTGGTAATGGTGGTAATGGTAATGGTGGTAGTAGTGGTGTTGGGTATGGTGGTGGTAGTGGAGGTAATGGTAATGGTGATAATAGTGGTAGGGTAGTGGTGGAAATGGAGGTAGTGGTGGTGGTAATGGTGGTAGTAGTGGTGGTAATGGTGGTAGTAGTGGTGGTAATGGTGGTAGTGGACGAGGATGGTGAAAAGGGCCAGGTATTGATCAATGAACAGACAACCAGCAGATCCTAACAAGTTATTGGATCTATTACTCATTCAGCCTCACCTCCCCACCCCCCACCCTCCTCACCTTCCCAACCCCTAAGCCTCCACCACAACCCCCTCCACCCTCTAACTCACCCCCACCCCTTCCCCTCACCTTTCCCCAACCCCTAAGCCTCCACCACAACCCCCCCACCCTCTAATCCCCCCCCACCCTCTAACTCACCCCCACCCCCTCACCCTCTTCCACAACCCCCAGCTCCACCACAACCCCCACACTTAACTCACCCCCACCCCTCACCTTTCCCAACCCCTAGCCTCCACCACAACCCCCCACCTCCACCCTTCACCTCTCACCACACCTCACCCACGACTCAACCCCACTCAACCTTTCCCATCCCCTCTCACCACAACATCCTCTAATTTTATGGCTGCCTGATGTATTGGCAGACTAGAGTACTTCCTGCACACTACACCCCGATGGGCCGATCTTCTTTCCCGACGGATCGAACCTCTGCCTTGGCCCTCCTTTACACCGACGGTGGTGGAAGTGGTGGTGATGGTAGTGGTGATGGTGATGGTAGTAGTGGTGGTGGTGGTGGTGATGGTAGTGGTGGTGATAGTAGTGGTGGTGATGGTGATGGTGATAGTGGTGGTGGTGGTGATGGTAGTGGTGATAGTAATGGTAGTGGTGATGATGGTGATAGTGGTGGTGGTGGTGATGGTGGTGATAGTAGTGGTGGTACTGGCTTGGTTATCATAAAACTCTGGATAATATAAGGTATCAGCAGTGAACCACAGAGCGAGAATAACGTCATGCTGGTATCTGAGTCACGGTGGTCCAGTTACTTCAGTGTCACATGACTGCATGACACGTGACACCTTGCATGACACGTGTAAATCCTGGCATGTTGTGACACTTAACTCCCAATTATGTATATGACACGTGACACTTAGTACATCATATGACACTTGACACCTGGGATATCATATGACACGTGACACTTGGTACATCATATGACACTTGACACCAGGGATATCATATGACACGTGACACTTAATACATCATATGACACTTGACACCTGGGATATCATATGACACGACACTTAATACATCATATGGCACTTGGATTAATTGTGGGATATTTCTAAGACAGCACGTGACACTTGGTACATCATATGACATGGAAGGAAGGAGAGAGAGAGGGAGAGAGAGAGAGAGAGAGAGAGAGAGAGAGAGAGAGAGAGAGAGAGAGAGAGAGAGAGAGAGAGAGAGAGAGAGAGAGAGAGAGAGAGGTGACGTGTAGGATCATCATCACTACCAAGATATAATATTAATAAAAGATCCTTAAGTCCTACATGTGTGTGTGTGTGTGTGTGTGTGTGTGTGTGTGTGGCGGCTGTAACAACTCGGCCATATACATTAGAGCAGTAGGTGTGGCTATAGTCCATGGGATAGTGAACTTTATATATAAAAATTTATTACTGATATTTCTACCATTTTGCCAGGTATCATTTAGCTCCACCCTCAGTTTTATAACACGGTCTCACTCCTGGGTAAAAAAAAAAAACACCACGTTTTTCCATTATAACTGTCACATATTTTTCATATAAATTGAAATACATTTTTTTTATAGCGTGTTCCTTTTATTATTTTTTTTAGTTTGTTCAGAGCCAGGTTGAGCCACGGCTACTGTCATCAATTTCACGGCTCATGTGTTGTTATGGGGGGTGTAATAAAAAGCATTGAGTCAGAAGAGAAAATGAGAAGAGTTTCAGAATGATATTTATACGTGTGTGTGTGTGTGTGTGTGTGTGTGTGTGTGTGTGTGTGTGTGTGTGTGTGTGTGTGGAATTGCCGTCACTGAACATTGTTGAGATATCGAAAGGTAATTATTAATATTTGTTGTGTGTTGGGGTAGGTGGGCGGGGAGGTGGGCGGGGAGGTGGACGGGCAGGTGGTGGGTGGGCAGGTGGTGGGTGGGCGGGCTGCTTGGAAAAAGTTACATTGAAAGATAAAACTGAAGTATTTTAGGCGAATTGAATGTTCCTCCAAATAACAACAACAACAACAACAACAACAACAACAACAACAACAACAACAACAACAACAATAATAATAATAATAATAATAATAATAATAATAATAATAATAATAATAATAATAATAATAAAATGTTTCAATAAAAATTTTCAAACACATAGAGGAGCCAAGGTCACTCCCAGACAGTCCCAACAGTGAATGGGCTCCTACTTTTACTGTTTGGGAAATGAAGATGGTACAGTTCAATGCATTATGGGATCCACTAACCTAACCCAAACCAAACCATACCAAACCTAACCTAACCTAACCATACGCCTCCACCTGATCAACGTCTGTCTGGCCAAAAGATTGTTATACCAGACTAGTGTTCGCGTCTGGACCAACCAATCAGTGAATGACACGTATGGGCAAATACAAAGCTCAATCATTGGTTTATTACGAAGAAGCGGAGGACCAATCAAAAAAAAATCAAGGCGAATGGACTAATCAGAGGATGACACGTGGACCAATCAGGAGGCGACAAGTGACAGGGTTAGATACACAACACTTCCCTCAGAGTAAAGGGATTATTTCCGTCTTCTGGTAGAGGTTTTTCCTCACCACGATAGGGAGAGAAGGAGGGAGGGAGAGAGGGAGGGAGGGGGAGGGAAGGAGGGAGGGAGGGAGTGAGGGGGAGAGAGGGAGGGGGAAAGAGAGAGAAGGGGGTGTAGAGGGGGTTAGTAAGTAGTGGTAGTTTCTGGTTAATAAGGTAATGTCCGCAGGTGTGTGATCAAGGTAATGTTTTCCGCAGGTGTGTGATCAAGGTAATGTTGTCCGCAGGTGTGTGATCAAGGTAATGTTGTCCGCAGGTTGATCAAGGTAATGTTGTCCGCAGGTTGATCAAGGTAATGTTGTCCGCAGGTTGATCAAGGGAGGTGAGGAGATGCGGCTGGTCAAGAGGATGAAGCCGGAGTACGGTGGCGGCCTCATGGAGTTGTCGCATGCGGAGCTGGGCATCTTCCAGGTGAGTGCCGCAAGCCGCATCCCCCCCCTACACCACCCTTACTGTTTGTATGTTCACTTGTCTGTCTGTCTGTCTCTCTGTCTGTGGCTGTACTGTATGTCTGTTCATCTATCTGTCTGTAAGTCTGTCTGTCTATCTGTCTGTGGCTGTCTGCTGTACTGTATATCTGTCTGTCTACCTGTCTACGAGTCTGTCTGTGGCCACCAATCTATCTGTGAGTGGCTATGGTCACCTGTCTGTGTCTTTCTATGGTCAACTATCTGTCTGTCTGTTTGTCTATTGGTCACCTCTTTCTGTCCACCCCAAAATTGTGCTCTTTGGTGACCTCTGACCTCAGTAAAATGACCTCCTACGCCATTCTTACCATTGATAAGTCATTGTCCCATGTCTCACTCGTATACTGTATATTGTTGACATTACGACAGACAGACAGACAGACAGACAGACCACCTTCCAATTAGCTTTTTGGGGGGGTATTACCTGAGCATTAGACACCCCCAACGCTACTTAACTAGGGTGTCTAATCTTCATGTGATTCTAATCCCACTATATCAAATTTAATTATCGAGTCAGACTTAATGGGATTACATAACATGACCAAATAGCCATTCATTAATATACCTCTATGGATTGACCTTTGACCCTATGGAATTCCTTACAAAAATAGATTAGAGGTGTGGGTGTGTACTGGCTAAAGTGTTCACAGGTGGGTTGAGTTTCACCTGAGTTGACTATTAATTAAAGGTGTGGTTGGTTATAGTTTGCAAGAAGATGAAAACCAAGAGAAATAGTAATTTATACTTTCTTTCCTTATATGAATGGTAGAATAGAGATGATAATAATAATAATAATAATAATAATAATAATAATAATAATAATAATAATAATAATAATAATAATAGTAATGTCTTTAGATTAATACATTATTTCATCACTAACTTTTCTTTCACTTCTGACAAATGTAGATTAATTTTAACACCTAGAAAATATTAACCACCTTATGATAATTTTTATTCTGTGTGTGTGTGTGTGTGTGTGTGTGTGTGGTGTGTGTGTGTGTGTGATGCAGGGCGTGGAGGATGGGGCCACCTTCTTCAGCACTATGGAACGTCAGGTCATCGTTCTACACATTCTCAACTCTCTCAGGGCGGCCCAGAACGAGGCAGTGGAAGGCACCAGCTTCAGGGAGGGCCAGGCTATCAGTACGTACTTACCCTCCCTTCATCTCCCTCACCCGGCCATCAGTAGATACTCTCCCTCACCCGGCCATCAGTAGATACTCTCCCTCACCCGGCCATCAGTAGATACTCTCCCTCACCCGGCCATCAGTAGATACTCCCTCACCCGGCCATCAGTAGATACTCTCCCTCACCCGGCCATCAGTAGATACTCTCCCTCACCCGGCCATCAGTAGATACTCTCCTCACCCGACCATCAGTGGTCTCTCCCTCCCCCGGCCATCAGTAGATACTCTCCCTCACCCGGCCATCTGTAGATACTCTCCCTCACCCGGCCATCAACAGACTCTCCCTCACCGGCCATCAGTAGATACTCTCCTCACCCCGGCCATCAGTAAGATACTCTCCTCACCCGGCCATCAGTAGATACTCTCCCTCACCTATTGCATCGGTAGATACTCTCCCTCACCCGGCCATCCAGTAGATACTCTCTCCCTCACCCGGCCATCAGTAGATACTCTCCCTCACCCGGCCATCAGTAGATACTCTCCCTCACCCGGCCATCAGTAGATACTCTCCCTCACCCGGCCATCAGTAGATACTCTCCCTCACCCGGCCATCAGTAGATACTCTCCCTCACCCGGCCATCAGCAGATACTCTCCCTCACCCGGCCCATTGCTACACTCTGCCCAACAAGCTTATATTAGTTTTTACCTCAACTTGCATAGGAATGATTTGCTTCAAAAAATAATAAAATTTCGTTGGTTGAACACATCTGCTGGTTCAATGAGGCCTAACCAAGTGCTGTGATGTTGTTTGTAAAAAATAATAGTTGCAGACCAGTTTGGGGATAACTGTTGGTTTATGCAATTATTTAAATTATTTTAGCTGCGTTTTGCTAATACAGTAATTATAAATTATTCTATTCACAAATATGCTAATGTTAGAGAAACTGTCTGTTGTACGTTAATATTTTTAGTGCAGTAAAATGTGTGTCACCTGAGCACCGTCGCCATCCAACAGATTCTTAACATAAAACATGAACCTAAAAGTTAGTGAAAAGTTTTAAAACTCTCGCCGTCCACCTCAGGTGAAAGTAAGCTTTTAGCTGTGGCTCGAGGCAATGGCCAAACTAAGTCTAAGCCAGTGGCCAGACTTGAAGTCTAAGTCAGTGGTCAGACTTGAAGTCTAAGTGAATGTTTCCCTGAACCTTTAGTAAGATGATTCCCTCCCACAGTTCCCAAGTTTGAGTCAGAAGGGGTGATCCACGGCATCCTTCCCCTGCACGACTACAAGAAGCTGGAGCACCTCAGAGCCACCTGGGTACAGACCTTCTTCAGGTACCAACCCATAGGTGAGTCCTTACCACCTCAAATCACCCAGGACGACCTCGAGTCTTAGCTGACCTAAGCGTGAGACATTACTGACCTCATATGGCGTACATTTAGACTGCACATCTCACAATAATATACATACTGTAAATCAAGTGACCCTACATGACCTGGTTTGACCTATGTCTCATCCTTATGACAATTTACCTGGATACATCATATTTCGTGTTTCTTTTACACCTAATGTAGGCCTAGGTAAAATATTAACATCTTTATATTACCTTGTATCCAGAAGACCTTTATAATCCTCAATAGGCGACTCATAATTACCGAAATAATTGGTATCGCTCGGTGATCCCTGACAGAGGCGATCCAGGAGTACTTCGGGTCCAAGATCGCCATCTACTTCGCCTGGTTGGGGCACTACACCACCGCCCTAACCGTCCCCGCTGTCATCGGCCTCATCTTCTGGGTAAGGCAACACCCTCCTCCTCTCCCACACCGTCGCTCTCTTCCCCCAACTTTATCGTGAAATTTACATCATTGCTCGACACACCGCGTTTATACTTTTACTTGTGCGTGTGTGTGTCTACTTTTCTCTCTTCAATGTATTAAACTAACTTTGTCTTATGCTCTCAAACAATCTTGTGTGTTCTTTCCAGGTGTTTTGTTACAATGTCAATGTTCGTCTGTTACTTCTCGTGTTTTAACAACCTCCTGGTACCATTTACCTTACTATGCATCCCCGCAGCGCCTACTATCATTTTCAGTTGTATGTGTGTGTCATTGTATGTGTGTGTGTCATTGTATGTGTGTGTGTCATTGTATGTGTGTGTCATTGTGTGTGTGTGTCATTGTATGTGTTTGTCATTTATTTTCGTCTTTTGTTTTTATCTCAACCTGGAACTAACCTATTTTCAGATGAATTCATTGGTTGGGAGGTTAGGTTGCGTCACACCTTTAGACCAATGAGCCGTTACCTTTCAGTCGTGATACGGGTAGTCCCCCTTAGAGGTTCACAGCGCCAGCTCGTTGAACAGGCTTTGTGTGAAATATATAAAGTCTAGGACTACTTTTAGTGTCCTCGTGGTCCAGTGGTTAGCGTTCCCCGGTCACAGTCGTGGGCCCAGGGTTCAAATCCTGGCGGGTTGAGGTGTTGATTGTATATAGAAGTCCGCGTGCTTGTGGTTATCAGCATAAAATAAATATATATATATTTTTACATAACAGTGAACTTTTACCTTCGTTTCATGAATAATTAAGTGATAGCTAAAATAATTACGTCAGAGATACCGTTTTCTTTTTCTTTTTTTTAGCTTCGTTGTATTGATGATTAGGTTAAGAAAATAGTGTGTAGTAGTAGTACAAGACGTGTGTGTATTCTTAGTGTTACAATATACACGAGATGTTAATGAGAGAGAGAGAGAGAGAGAGAGAGAGAGAGAGAGAGAGAGAGAGAGAGAGAGAGAGAGAGAGAGAGAGAGAGAGAGAGAGAGAGAGAGAGTGTGTGTGTGTGGTAAACCGCTACATAATGCGACAGGACAAGTAGTAGTAGTAGTAGTAGTAGAAGACTATCTCTACAATATTACGTGGTGTAGATTATTTTCCGAGGTCAAGTTAGTCTATTTTAACTATTCGAATGAAGAGCCAAGAAAAAGAAAACAAAATTTCCTTGAGTTTCTTTCCGTTAATAACAAGACTTATTATTTCTTTCACAAACTTTGACAAAACTTATATTGCCTTCACATAAATAATAATAGATAATATACTTCTTTTAAATATAAGTTTTACTCTTCCTTCATATAATAAAGTAAAAAAATAAATACTTAAAAGATAAAGAAAGACACGAGTCAATAAATTTTAACAGAAATGTAAAAAATATTCAATAATTTCTTCACACAAAATCTCCTTCCGTTCTTAATTATGTATTTTGTGAGTTTATATTTTCTTTTACATCCTTTAATAATGCATAGATCAAAAAAAATTAAAGCTCCACAGAAGTATTAAGCGTAATGACTTCACGGCTGTAAAATACGTGAGGATTTTTAACGAAAAGTCTGGTTTACGCGTCTGAAGACAAGAGAAGTTAAAGCCTAGTAAATTATTAATATTCTACTGACCATGGACAGATAAATCTCTCTCTTAACCACGATACGTTGATGTGCAGAGTATGTATTGTTTATTGTCAATTATTATACATATGACCAACGTATTTTCAACAATTTGTTAAAGTGCAACAATATTATGAGTTTAAAGGTTTATTATTTGACGTTTCTCAAATTTCCAGGTTATCAAAATATATTAGGCACCTCAGGATAGGACATTTATATTTAATATTATTTATAATTGTATTTACTCCTATCGTTATGCTAGTAGGAGGAACCATGGTTACCGTCACCGACATTACTAACTGGTAACACTGGCGTAGACCAGATGTTGTATTTCTTCACTTCACAACTACAGTTTACAAGTACCTCAATGAAACACCAACAACAATTAAATTTTATATATATATATCTATTTCCTTTGTTGTCTAATGATACTTGAGTACATAAAACTTAAATGGTTACCGTTATAGCCGACCGTTAATTGTTAATTAAATATTCATAATAAAAAATATTAATATAAAAAAGTGCTGACCAAAACAAATTTATTTTATATTTAGACAAATTTGTAATGGCGCGTCGGGTTGTCCGTCAAGTGATGGAGAGCGGCGGCGCCTGTCACTACCGGAACTGTTCCCAAAATATACCAGCAGGAGAGTGTCGAGGCATCGATTACTGTCATGTGTCACCTAAATATCACCTGCCACCTAAATATCATGCACCACAGCGCTCACTGGTGGCAAATAAAATTTTCCAACTGCATTCAAGCTGTATTCCTAAGTTTATCATAGCTACCGGTGATCAGATGTTGCCAAAAATTCACAGGATAATGTAACAGATCTGAAGGTACAATTTGTCCAACTTTTACCAAAATATTTCTACACAACTTTTATGTAGGATTTTGAGCTTTACCAGGACACTTCTAGCTTAATTATTATATAGATTTCTGTATAATACCATAATGGGTGAGTACCTTACTGTGTGTCACGATAAACTTTATACTAGTACGTAGCCAACAACAAGGCCAGGTTCCCCCTAAAGAACTTCCACAGCCAATGATGTGAGCTAACCTTGTTGCTACTATTTCAGGTGTGTCTGTGGGGGCGTGACCAGGCACTAGAGGACAAAGGTTTCGTGCTGTTTGCCTTCTTGAACGTGGTGTGGGCGTCCATGTGGTTGGAGGGGTGGAAGAGACACAGCGCCGTCTTGGCTTACAACTGGGGGACGCTTGACTCTCACGTGGAGGTCTTCTCGGAGTCCAGGCCGCACTTCACGGTGAGTTGCTCCTCACCCTCCCCGGGGTAGGCTGGCAGACCCCGGGGCTTGTGTGTTGTTGTCTGTTGTTGTTAGTTATGACAGCTTTAACGTAATACAACAGGCATAAAATTATCAGCATTATTACAGTACCACGACGATAAATAACACGGTTTTTTTAGTCTTGCTAGAGTACCATTCAACACACAGCTTTATAGTCCTGTCATCAGAAATGTTAACATGTTTACTACATAAGCGTGAGACTTGACACAACTTTATTACAGTACCTCAAGGTGAGACGTGCCACCTTCTTACCGTCGGCCGCCATACAAATGAAGGAACGTGGAGGTACCTTTATGATTTTTTTTTTACTTTGATAACTACTGTAACTGAGTGGGTGGCCGTGGTGTTTAGGAGATCTGTTTGAAGACTTGAAATGTTGGACAGTGTTTTGTGGGAAAAAGGTGGAAAATATTATATAGATCGGCATTCAAGGTAACGAATCTGACCGCTATAACATACCAACAAACTCGGGTGGTGCCGTGAGATAAAACAACTTCATGTTATTATTTTGCAACGAAAGATAACTCGCCCTATAACATGACGCAGCTCAGCGACAAAAAAAAAAAAGTAATTCAGCAGCAAAAATCGTCAATATAACGTAAACTAAGACCGGAAAATAATGTGAAATGGATCGACTGATTATTTCGTAAGTCAACGCAAAAGTTAAAACAGTATAGGTTTTACTCTTGACATGAATACACACACACTAAGGTGCTGCCGAAGTCATGGAGGATGGAACACACTTTTGTATAGAATGAATTCGAATTTAGGGTGAAAAGAGACGCCCCAACATTTGTGCCTTGGGGCCGATGAGGTATAAGGTCAGTTAGCAAGAACAGTTTCACATTTTTTATAAACACAGTCAATGAGCAGTGATGGATCCAAGGTAGGTTGGAGGTTCCCATTGAACTTTTATGCGTTTGTTGTGTTACATAGAGCATTAAATAAGACTCATATACTGACTATCTATTCTCTTAAGCAATTGCCACTTCCAGAACCTTCAACGCCGGCAGTGTGGTCTGTATGTGTTGCTTTAGACCCTCCGCCTCCTCCCATACCAAAATCCTGGGTCCGTCACTGTCATTTGTAAAGATTATACAGCTACGATCAACCACATGTCAGTTAACCCATAAACCTTCCTCGGTGCCAGTGATGAAGCGACCAGGGAGTGTTTGTTTACCGTCCAGTTACAGTCACTTGTGTACAGTTTGTCCTCCAGGTCTTGTGTTCAACTCATCAGACCTCTGTATCTCAAATGTTCATCGAGCTCAAGAGTTTTAGTTGAGGAGGAAAAGGTTCTTGTAAAACAATTAACTCTTCTCTAAAAGGGTCTTGTTGTATTAGTGTTTTCATTCCATTACATACATAAACACACTGATCAATAGGCAGTCTGTTTCCAGGTAGAAGTAAAATTCAATATATTTTCCTGTTGAATTACATTATGTGTATGTTGTTAATAACTATCGATTGAGATTCACTGTAAATATTACCCCATGGTCATTTTTAAAAAGATAATCACTACTTGACAAAGATTTAAACAAACTTAACACACACTTGGGTGACCTTAAGGCATTCTGATCGTCTAATGAAGAGTGGCTGACAGGGACTGAGAGCAAGAGAGGATGGAGTATAGTATTTATACTTGCTGGAGAACAGTTGGGTTGGGTCGTGGCCTTCTGAGACAGTTCACTTCATCAACATTAATTTTCGTTTCCGTTGGTAAAATATTATCCTGGAGTGATAGAAAGATGTTCCTTTTGACATCACTGAACTTAATTAACCTCCGTGACCCAACCTGGTAGCTTCACCTGGTCTTGTATTTTGACCAACAAGGATGTAGTACTGCACTCTCTTCCATCCTCGTTACTGCCCCTTGATCTCCGCCTCTTTCTTCGTCACGATAACGATGCCGGTTAGATTAACACTTTTTTTTCTCAAATTCGTGATTGTGTTTACATTACACATTATACTGTACTACACTAAGTAAAACTCGAATGATCGTATGTTAAGTGAGTGACAAAAGTTAAGCCTTCTGTATAATGCTTTACACTTTAACCCATGTAGCTGACAATGACACTTCTTATCTCCTCACTGGGTCCTAGATGGAAACGGTGAGTATGGTTTGAGCGGGCTGGGGCAGGGCTATAGGGTTAGTGGCTAGGCTAAGGGCGCCAGGCGTCCACTTTCTGCCTATCTCTTGGGCATGTTCCTGTAGCTGGTTGATGACTAGTGTACTGTAGTGTCTTTGGCTGCAGTAAAGGTTTTCAACTTATCTGTAAGGTGGCGAAGTAGATCTTTCCCTTGTGCATGTTTTGAAATTTGTACGCCAATCTTTGTATCATCTGTAACAACGTAGAGATTTTTTAAAGATATTATAAAGCTTTCTTATACCTTACTGTATATGAACCATATAATGGCCATTTGGGAGTCTCTGAAACACAATTTTGACGTAGCAGAGTGCGGTTATGAGATGACTGAGAGGTATAGATCCCGTCTTGCCCAGCTGATGATGAAGTAGTGGATGAGAAATATTAGTGAATAGTGATGGATAGAAGTATAGAGCAAGACATTAGTATTTAGTTAATGGATATGAAGATGTAATGGATATCAGTTATTATGCACAAACAGCAGAAGCAAATGGACGTGAAGTAGATTACAAACCGTATGGTCACAACCTCTGAACCTATTGTCTTATGACCTACTGACCGTGATGTTCACCTGTTGGGTTAAGGCGGCACTCAGCTTACACCAACAAATACCGATTCGCTTGCCAGAATATGAATAATACGTTGACGTCCGGAGCTGAAGTACCTGTGGCCAAGGTTCACGCCAGAAGATCAATCCGTCAGTAACAACTCAACCAATTTGGAAAGAGGGAAGTGTTGCAACATGTGCCGAGTTATGATACAAGGCCACGGAACTGAATCTCTTGGGTTAGTTAGTGTCAGTGAGTTAAGATGCGCTTTAGCTGTACATTCAAGTCGGCATTCATCTGGCAGCAAAATTTATATACTGTACGTCAAAAATTTTACTTTAAGAAAATACTGGTACTTTTTTTTTTAGAATGATAGACTCATGACAAACCAAGACTTAAAATATAGCTCCACTTTTCCTTGAGAGAACGACGGGGCGAGACAAGCCGATCCTCACCACTTATGTTTAACAAAGACACCAAAAGGAACACATTTCCTCTGGTTGTCATGACGAGTTGGGTGTTCAGAGGTGTGTGTGTCGGTGGCAAATTCAAATACGTTCCAAATAACCTTAACCTCACCTTTAACTGAGATAGTTAATTAAATAAAGACACCTAATATAATCCACTTACCCGTCCCACCACAGTACACAGGCAAGAGCTTCCTGGGTAACATATCCTTGTAAACCCAAAAGCAAATACAGTCTTTCCATTTACAAAAAAAAAAAAAATATTCCCCAATACATTTGCCATAAAACATCTGTTAATCATCACCACCTAAAGAACCTGGAGATTACTAGTAACATAATGTACAGTACACAGGACCAGACAACACCGCGGCTTACACCTGTAGTTACAACTATAAAAAATACACCAATGGACCAACAACCTTCTACCACCAGACAACCAGAAAAGATTTTAGGATATACGGTAACAAAGACGGCATTTAGTTCATGTTCGTTTATTTTTATTTTCACTTTTTTTTTTTTTTTTTAGTTTTACCTCGGGCAGGTTTGGTCTCCTCGCCTCGTAGCAGAAAAATACCATCTAAACAGTCAACAGTATTATAAAGTTGCCAGAAACCTCCCAGCTGTACAATCACAGGAACAAGGCATGGCTCTCCCTGATCTAGATATTCCCAGTTACTATTATAACGAACCATATTGTACTGTACGCGAGGGCAACACCACCACTCACTACCATCTGCCAACAAGAGCATCTGGGAGGGCTCTTAACATTCTAACTTGGCAACCAAAAATCATTTATACCATCACTGTGGAACTTCCCGCCACAAAGTGTTTTTTCTTTACCATAATATGACCTCCAACATTTCAAAATATATTGCCTCGGCGAATAGATTTGACAGCGACACTTGTCTGATCTTTCCTTTCTCTTTTATGTCAACGAATAAAACACACAAACATAATTCAGCCATCCAGATAATGTCTCATTTGGATCGATCTACGACAACATGTTACGTGTGTACGATCGTGTTTGAGACAAATCTCGGCGGGACTAATAGATACTGTACCCATTAATGCAGTATAGTGTCAAAATATTGATGTTCACTGTACTGACAGACTAACACATGTAAGTGACAGTCCTCAGATAGACGTACCTGTTTTGATGACAATTTAGTTCCCTTATAACATTACTTAAACAGTTACAGGAGTAGAAAACATAAAGGCAAATGACTTGTATTTTTGATCGTCACCATCCTTGGTCTGACACTAGCACAAGTTTTAGAGAAATTTTGCACATAACAGCTTACTCCCAATATGCATGACATATTTACATTTTGGAATTATATTTCATTGCTCTTTAGATTAATGTTCCCTTTGTATAATATCTCTTATTGGTGTCTAAGGATTATAAACTAGAATTCTGTAGTGTCTCTCCTGTCTATAATGTGTACTGTACCCCAATTACTGTCCAAGCTTCTTCATTATACACTTACGTTAGGCCTGTGCTTCTTCATTATACATTTTAAATGATGTAAAGTATTGAAATATATTTAGGCAGGAATATGTAAATATTGTGATAATTGTACATCTCTATTTAAAGAGACCCTTCTGGTATATTGGAGTCACAACAACAAAACAATTCATTCATCCCGTCTTGAACTACAATATAGGTGAATAATTTTCATGTTTTTGTGTGACAGTAGCAGACAGCTGCCTCACGCTGCCGACTCCACGTTTAGGATAGTTTTACCTACAAAAATTGTATCAAACATTTTCTAGAGAATATATCATTACCGAGTTAAAATCCTGTTTTGTTTTACATCACTTTCAGTAAGAATGCTGTGGAACTCTACCATGTTCAGATATGGCTAACAAATTTACCAATAATTTAGCCATTCATGTTCAGACTTCCTCCTTTACCTCATAGTGTCTCCTCAAGAACCTCGCAGTAACAGGAACTAGGATGGGGGGCTCAGATTTAAACAGAATAATATCAGTATTTACATTCCTGGCCTAAGACTACAGAGATCATTTTAAGAGGCTGGGTGTTGCTGAGTTATGGATGGATGGATGAGTTCGTCTTGGCTTCCCTCTCACTTATGTTCCAGGAGTCTCCGCTTTGATGTGTAACACTTTTAAACTCCCCCAAGTGTTCTCTTCAGCCTCTACAGCCATCTTCTGAGGGCAGGGTAAAGGGGAACATTGTTAACACTGACCAGATCTACAACAGCTCCGTGGTCTCAGTAATGACGCGTGACAGCCAAGTCTTTCTCTTCCCTGATCATCCACGCCCTCCGTCGATGGCATCCTAAAACTACCCACATGCTGCTCCGGCATAAACTCTCATAATAACTTATTCAGAATGTATATAGCGCGGGTAGAATACCTAAGTTATCATCAATCCATTCCCCAAACTGTAAATACTGATCAGTATATCATTATCATGTACCAAAAATACAGCTGTAATATCTCGGATGGAGTAAGTTAACAGATTATTTTGTACCAGAGATAGAGATCAAATTTTTTTTTTTTGGGGGGGTTGACAAAAGGTCATTATACAGTCGTAGAAATACTGAATAGAGCTATAAGTTGTGAGGTTAATAGTAAGGACTAGACCTATACGTTGGTGGTGACTGTGAGGTGTATGGCAGGGGGACTTGAAGGTGAGCAGCGTGACGGGCCGCCTGGAGCCTGAGTACCCGGCCTGGCGGCGTAACCTCATCCGCTACCTCGTCACCCTCCCCATCGTCTTCTGCTCTTTATTCGCCGTCTTCATCGTCATGCTGCTCATCCTCCAGCTACAGGTGGGACACTACCTTGCTCTCTTCTTGAATCTTAATATATCTGGTACGAGGACTGCGAGATCTTTGCATTTTTACAAGGTCTGATTTATCTGAGGCAGAGTTTAATAACAGACATTCTCTAAAGATCAACATTACCTAATATAGACCATTGATTGTCGGATATAAAATATTTCAGTCTTACGGAAAGGCATTAAAGTTATGACAAATACATAACTCGAGCTTAATAGACACACCTACAACACGAAATTAGCGCTTGTCTAGAACACGTTTATGTAGCGGTGTTTGTGCCTGCAGGACCTGTGTGACGCCTTCATCTCGGCGCACGAGTACACCTTCTACCTGTCGTACGCTCCCAAAATCCTGATGGCCCTCACCATCTCCGCCTTCGACGAGGGTTACACTAAGGTGGCCGTCTGGCTCAACGATATGGGTAAGTCCCACCTGCAGGCTCAGACCTTAACACCTGAGGGCCCTACCTGTCCGTCCTATTACGGCTCCAAGCTCCATCTCTCCTCCCATTACATACACTATTTAGGATACAACCTGATGGTGTTATACTAATAGACTACAGTAGTTCAGCAACATACTGCACCCGTCTTGATGGGGAACAGTACACACACAACCAAACAACACTAACAACACGCACCAACACATAAGCTTAACACTCAACGAAGACTTTACTCAGTGTCTGGCCTTTTTTTTGTTCAAGAATCTCCTGACCAAAAGCAATGAAAGGCAGATAAACGGGTCCATGTAAACTACACCTCTATGTGTTTATGCAGTACTGGTCATCTCATAAGGCGCACACCACTGGAAAATTTATATTCATTTTTTTTTTTAGGTGAGGTGGCGATGACAAGTCGAATAGTCACCTAGGTCTCCGGGCTCTGGGATCACCTAAAACCAGTCGTCTCCCATATTCACCCAAGAGACATCAGTGACTATCCGACTTGTCCTCGTCACCTATTTCAGGAGTTATGATTTTCTCACCTGAAAAAAGAAAAAAAACAACACAAGCGAACAACAATTCTCCAATGGTGCAAACCTTATGAGACACCCTGTACATGGAGCCATCGTCAACAACAACAACTGATTGCACAACTATAGCAATGAGTGATTAGTATATGTATCTCTGTACAGTATTGAATCTAGAATTATATAGATGCGATTGATATAAAACTTTGATATATCCTAAGAGTCAAACTAAAGTGTTGTGTGTGTGTGTGTGTCATCCTCAGAGAACTACCGGGTGGAGGAGACGTATCAGAACCACCTCATCATCAAGCTGGCCGTGGTGAGTCTATACAGCCCTCCCTCACACCTCACACCCTCACACCCTCTTACCCTCACACCTCACACCACAACACACCCTCTTACCCTCACACCTCACACCACAACACACCCTCTTACCCTCACACCTCACACCACAACACACCCTCTTACCCTCACACCTCACACACCTCACCCCATCACACCCTCTCACCCCTCACCCTCTACCTCACCCCCACACACCTCTCTCACCCCTCCACCCTCAACAACACACCCTCTTACCCTCTCCATCACCCCCACACACCCTCTCACCCCTCACCCCCACCCTCACCCCTCACACACCCTCTTACCCTCACCCCTTCACCACAACGTGATATAAGGTAACTCGTTTTACTCCTATGTAATGTCCTAATGACGAGTGTACCTACGTGTACCTCTATCACGTTGTTCGAAAAGTTGAGTATTGTGTAAAATCAAAGTCTTCGAGTTTATTGATGGAAAATTTTATCGGTTTTCTAAAGGTAATTGTAGGTGGAAGTTTATTGAAGGTGAACAACACAATAGTTCCAGAGGGAGAGTTTGCTACATGAACGGAGGAAGAAAAAAAATGGGAATATTGAGATAAATTTATAAATATTTCAGATACTTGTAAATATAAGTTTAAGGCAGCATCTTGTATCGTGTTGCTAGACAGTGATGGTATAATGTTGTGTTACAGTTCCGGTTCGTTAACTCGTTCCTGTCGCTGTTCTACATCGCCTTCTACCTGCAGGACATGGAGCGTCTCAAGGAGGTCAGTCACTTTAGAAGGGAAATTATCATGTAAATTATTAGTAAATGTTGTAAGTCTTTCATGATAGCAACCAACAAAAACTCTGATACTGTAAAGCATAAATGTGGCAAAGAGTCGAAGTTGAGGGTGGTGGCACTCAACAGTAGTACCAGAAGTGCCACCAGATGTCTCTACTTAAGGCACCAACCAACACAAACACGAACGTAAATTGTAATCATCACATGCACACCTGCTGTGATCGTAAGCAGACATAAATTATGGAGAAATAACCAAACAGATATAAACAAATGTATAGGCTATAGTTTTTGAGGATAATGCAACTACCCTACCCCTAAGAACACACTTTATGACAGTACATTGTAAACTGTAATGGAGCTTCACTTTACCATTCGACGCATCAGCAGCCAAACACGAAAGACAAGACGGTACCTCCATATTACCTGCAGACAAACAGGTTAGGTAGTCAGTCTTGCACTTTAACTCCTCACAACCACAACTTTCATCTCCTGGTGTATTATTAACAATGCCATGTCTGATATTATTACTTTAGCATCCCAGCTCCGCCTTGTAATCCTCACACTCACCAACAACTCCTCAGCAATTGGCGGCACTGCTGCTGACGAGACAGGTTGTGGGCAACATCAGAGAGTCGTGTATCCCGTACCTGATGGAGCAGTTCAAGCTGGCTAAACTAAGCTTTGACCTGTACGGTGCACTGTCCCCCTCTGAGGAGACCAAGCAGCAAGACTGGCCCCAGGAAAACCCACCCCAGTCAGCAGGAGACACACAGGTGGGTGTTGTCACTCGTTATCTTGTCCCAATGTTGCCTCCCTGTAGCCCGCATCACCCCTCCCCATGTAGCTCCCATTACTGTTCAGTTAAATTGATATAAAATTACCCTGAGCCCGTTTATGAGGCTCCCTGTCCCAAACACCCGCCATATTGGTCTAAAAATGGAAAGACTTGCACATTATCCTCATGGGTCTTATTACTGACAAGTGGCAAACAATATGGAGTGATTCCTCCTGCCAAATCAAGCTTAACATTGTCATTATGGACACAACTTTAAAGAACTTCATAAGATTCGTTTGCTTGTTCATATAGATTCCGGAAGAGAAAGAGGAGGAGTCGAGTCCGGAGAGTGCGCCCAACAGCAACAAAGTGACACCAACGGCCCCGTCTGGCGAGGAGGCAGTGAGCAGCACCGACCCGTTTCTGGCTCGCGGCAGCAGCAAGAATCGCATCGTCAGCCAAGCTGAGGTGGAGTGTAACATGTCCAGAGTGAGTCTCAATATTTATAATTTCCTTGTTGTCTAAGCTTATCATCATAGCTTTTTCACTGTCAATCTCCATCTTCCATACTACATACAGTAAAGAATAATCGTAAACTAATAAGATAATAGTGTAACTTATCTTAATGTTAAACTAGAACGATTTGAATGTGAGAAAACCAAAAGATTAATTAAATTAACCCAGGAACTGAGTGAAACAGCCGTGTACTGTGCCTAAAGCTCTCTCCTAGACATAATTCATCCCCAATACTGTGAACGGAACAACACCTCACCAGTTCTGATGACAATTACAGTACGAGGGAACGTTTGAGGACTACCTGGAAATGTTCATCCAGTTCGGCTACGTGACGCTCTTCTCCTCCGCCTTCCCGCTGGCCGCCATGTGCGCCTTTCTCAACAACCTCATCGAAATCCGCTCAGATGCCTTCAAACTCTGTTGCGTCTTCCAGAGGCCCTTCAGCGACCGTGCCCAGAGCATTGGTGTGTGGCAGGTAGGTACTGGCTCCTGATTCTTGACCCGACTACATTTTTGGACTGATAATAATTCTTGACAACTTCATTTGCGTTTGTGGTCAGTTTATCAACAAACTGGTGAAGCTCCTTGGTAAGCGTTTGTCTCCAGAATGTCATGTGGATTTAAAGGCCAACGGAAACTGTTTCATCCTTATCTCTCTTTTATCTTTGGTTCCTAATTGTTGTTTTTAAGTACTGTGGCTGTTTCCAAGATACTTATTTCAGTTATCAAATTCACATCATGTATTCAGCAACAACAGTACAGGTTTAACCCCTTGTCTCACCTGTATTAATACGATGAATACATTGTACCCATGAGACTAACTTGTTCTACTCAGAAGGACTAGTCATCGTACTCAAGGGGTTAAGTATTAGCGCAGATGTTTAAGACACTCATCATACGGTGTTAGTGCAAAGTGTCGATAATATCTATAATGTTGATCACAATATAAGTTAAAATGTTAAGATACCATTAATGTAAACACCACCAAGTTGATGTACGTGTGTGTGTGTGTGTGTGTTGCAGGACGCCATGGAACTGATGGGAGTACTGAGCATCATGGTCAACTGCATGCTGATTGGTCTGTCTGGCCAAGTGCACCGCATGTTCCCTGAGATGTCAATAGCTCACACCATCCTCCTCATCATCGTCCTCGAGGTGTGTTATTCTCGAGTGTTTAGGTACAACATATACTGAGGCGTCATCTATTCTCATGCTAATATTTTAATCATTTCGAGGAGTAAAGAATGAGAGAGTATGACCTGTTCCAGCACGCCATGATCGCGTTGAAGTACGGCATCAGTTACGCCATCCCGGACATCCCAGAGTGGATCGCGACAGAGATGGCCAAGGTGGAGTTCCAGCGCCGGGAGGCTCTACGTCGCCTCTCTACCTCCAATTCCCCCCCAACCCGAGAGGACTCACAGCCTCCCTCTCCTCGGTGAGACAACTGGGCACGCAAGCTCAAGGTTTTTTATTTTTCTTATCATGGGAGGGTTGTTATATTTCGGGTTTTTAATTTTGTGGGCTATTTTTTCAATCTTTTCTACATTTTTTCTTTTGAACAAGACAAGCAGACCTCCTTCCCTTTGAGTATTCCTCACTTTTCACTTTGCCTGAATATCAAAGTTGCTTTAATCATATTCTATCTCAACCCCAGCAGGTACTTGTTTGGGCATACGATAACGTCAACAGAGTATGTGGATAGCAGTGCCCAGACGGACATTATGTATTCCAGGAGGAGATCCTTCAAGACATCTCCCACCAGCACCATAGACGAGGATGACGTTCACTCTCCAGCGGAGTCGAGCAGCCAGAGAGGAAGTCTAAGTGAAGGGACGGCAGAGATGGGAGACATCGACGAGAAGGGAGAAGACGGGATGACATACCGTGAGCTGGATGAAGCGAGAATACGACCAATCGTACGACTAGGGCGGAGCGTCTCTGATTGTGAACGAGTCCGCCACCGTGTACCACGCATCAACAGAGCGATGAAACAAGAAAGTAATGAATCCAATGACTCGGAGGAAGATTTAATAACAACAAAACAGTTTGACAGTCTGCCAATGCTGTCAGCCCCGGCAGCCTTTGATAAAAAAAACAGATTGTTTAGGTTTTCCCCGGACAATGAAAATGCAATCGGGCAGATAAAGCCCAGATCTCGGCTTCTCGAGAAACCTGACTTTTCCCACGGACAATATGCTCAATTCTCTTCGCGGTCAGTCGAGTGTGTGTTAGACGCCACAGGGCATGGCCGCTTCACTGACGACTCCACTGGCCACATCAGTGAGGAGGGCACCCCTGAAAACAGCGTGGCCAGTCGGACACCAACGCCTCCCCCAACTGAGGAACGCAAGAAGGCGACTCACCCTCCTGTTACTCCTCGGGCCGAGGCACCAACGCCACCACACGCTGTCAACGAGCCCAAGGAACTTGTAATCCGAAAGAAACCGCCCATGAAGTTCCTTAAGCGTGCGCAGAGTTTGTCGTACGTGTTCAAACGCAATACTGCTAAACCAGAGAAGAAAAAGAAAGTAATACGCGACGACTACGCCGCGTTGACCTCAACGAGAGAACCTCAAGGAGAGATGGCGCTCGTGCCTCTGGAGAAGTTGGTTCAGATCGACGACATCCAGATGCAGCCGTCACTCTCCAGCTATAACGTGAACGGCGACTAACACTCCCCTTCCTCACCCCGGCGAACATTCATCATGATTTAGCTGTAGAGTTAATCACAACTATAAGCATAAGTGTTTGTGTTAGGGCTGCCTGCCTGGCTGTCTAGTGGACGGTGAAGGAACAAAAATGAACCGTGAAAACATCTATCTGGCATAATAGTGAGTGCAGTTAATACTATCCTGCACTGTCCATATCTTCTGCATAATTACTATTCATGTCATATCTAAATCTTAGATTGGAATAGTAGTCGACCCAGAGATCGATAGTGTTTTCTATGTTATGGATGGATAAGCCTTTCAGATCACTGGCGCTTGTAACAAGTGAGTGTGCGTGAAGCTGCCAGATAAAATGTGTGGACGTGTGGACGTTCTTGGCTGGTTACGTGTGTGTGTGTGTGCGTGTCTACATACATGCACCGCACACTGCCGGTCCGTACAGAGATCGCACATACATCTATATCGCCTCTGGTGTTGCCTTACAAAGTTCTGTTGCTCTTTTACAACAATAGTTTCCAAGTCATTGTGTAGGTGTGTGTGAGTGTGTGTTAGTGCGTGAGTGTGTGTGACAGCGTGTGAGTGTATTTACGAGTAAGCTTCCATAGCTTGCTAAGGCTTGTACATGTTTTCAATATTATTTATTTACAACAGTGTGTTAGGTGTGGGTGCGCGTATGTGAGGTGACAAAATATTCAAATATGAAGATAAATATAAGATAATATATGTGCTCGTCGATCTTCGCAAACACTCTTTTCATCTATATCCTGTGTGTGACTCTATACATCACATCTCCGCTACTCCCCTACACGCTGTGTTTTCTACCAGATGATCCTGACTCTTGGTGTGAGGTGTCCCAGCATGCATGGTACTGTACAGTAGATGCCAGATAACCTTAGGACAGTTAACACACTCAAAATGGAAGTTGGGATATCAGCATTTATCTTCTCATTGACCTTTCATATTTTCATGTGATATATTATTTTTTTCGTTGTTTTAAGACATAAGGTGCAACTTACGTTTATAAAACTATAACGAGTGTAAAACAATGGCTGTGTACAAATTGTTTTAGTAACCGTTACACTCAGCAAGACGGAGGTGGAGCTACTGGTGAGAGCATCAGTGGTGCTCCAAACTTTACAACCACATGAATTAACACAAACTTTTTATGAGTTAAAGATTTATTTACCTCCAAAAGAGTATAATATTGTACACAAAGCAATGGAAATTGTTGACTGAAAACCTAATACAAAATAGAAAAGTGAATGATAAGTTTTTCTTCAAACCTTATCCTCGTTTTCTCAGTTAAGGACAGTGTGCAGTCGCCATCGTGTATATACTTGGCTGGGTCTCCCTTGCCATGTGTAATGCCTCATATGATCTCTGTTGTGTCATGTTGGTGCGCTGCCCAAACTCTCTGACCAGAATTACAAGGTCTTGGAGCAGCTGAAGATTTGTAAAGCGAAAGTACTTGAAAAAGGTAAGTTATATGGAAGCAAGGAAACAGGTAGAGAGAGACCCGCAACGCAGATTGGGGATAGTCACAAAAAAGCGCTGTAGTTGACTGCTTTGGCACAGACAATCATTGAAAGTGCAGTACTTAGTGCGGCAAAAAAAAACTATTCCGGAGAATTCTACTACCACTCAAGGACACCACTGGCAGGCGTAGAGTACCTTGGTGGACGCCAGTTTGTCAACAAGCAATTCTTGAACGCAATACCTGGTACAGAATCCTTCATGGGGCTGTTACCCAAAGCAATCTGCTATAGAAGAAAATATGTAAGGCTCATGCACGTAGATTTATCACGGAGTACTCGCAGGTCCTGGCAAGAATACCTCTCCACTATCAAGGTAAGTTCGGAGGCTAAGTGAACACGTTCGGGAGCTAGGATGCTCGGGAACTAGCTCTCGAACGTGTTCGCCCAGCTTACGAACGACTGAGAAAACGGCTGTATTCCGGGCGGGCCAGAGGAGTTCTTTCATCCCCCAAACATAAAGTGAGGGACCAACTCTTAATAGCCCCAAGACATAACAGATTATCTCGCCCGTCAGATTGCCAGAGTGAGCAGCTCTTACTATAATCCCCATTTCACTCCAGTGAGGGGGCGGACCAGGAGGCAGCCTTGTTGTTTGACAGTGAGGGGGCGGACCAGGAGGCACCCCTGTTGTTTGACAGTGAGGGGGCGGACCAGGAGGCAGACTTGTTGTTTGACAGTAAGGGGACCGGGACCGAAGACGAACTCCATCGTGCCCTCAAGTTCTCTAAGGGCATGAGTTCCGGACCCGACAAAATAATGTGTGACATGTTGCAACACCTGAGCAGGACCAACCTAATCAAAGTGCTTTAGGTTTACAAAAAGATCTGGACGTCTCAAACGTTCCCTGACTCGTGACGCCTAAAACATGTACCGACTCCATGAAGGATGGCGACCTCATGAGCCCCAGTTCATTCAGACTACTGCACTTACGAATTGTCGATGTAGAGTAACGGGAAGAATACAAGAAAATAGATTGATAGTTTTTCTAGAGGACAACTCTTACTAAATGATCTACAAAGTGCCCCCTCCCCCCAGCAGGAGCTCACTAGATCATCTGGTATTATTGGAACATATTCAAAAGGCATTTAAAGCCATACCATCTTCTACCTGGAATACCTCTGCAGTGCGCACACCTCATTTGTGTTGCACTACACCTTACCCATATGACAAAAAAAAACATTTACCTTTCATATCACACATTCACAGAGAGAGAGAGAGAGAGAGAGAGAGAGAGAGAGAGAGAGAGAGAGAGAGAGAGAGAGAGAGAGAGAGAGAGAGAGGAGAATTTTGACGTGTCTTGCTCCTTTAACACACTCCACCATAACACCACAAGAGGCAGCCACAACCCACCAATCAACAACTACGACACCATAATGACCCAGACGTTAACGACCAGCAAGATGGAGGTTGAATGGGTTATCCCTTTGTGTATTTATAATCAAACAGTAAATTATAAGTAAAAATATACCAACTCGTGAGGAATGGAGGAACAATATGCATAGAAATTGCCCAGAGATTCATTTTCAAGGTAGTTTAGTCGTCACTCTTGTCCGGTAGCGTCTTCCAGCACTGATGACGACCACGGCAGTAAAACACAAGTAAAGGATTTTAACGATTTAAAACAGCGATCATTTCGTTGTTTGGGTTTCATCTTTATCGCTGTAACTTTGTGATATCCTAATGTTAACCATCTCTCATTGCACAGGATAGGGTTAGGTTAGGTTAGGTTAGGTTAGGTTAGGTTAGGTTAGGTTAGGTTACCTGGATTACATGTCACTACCATTAAAGATTAATTAACCTGACGTAACCTAACCTAATATAATCTAACCTAATCTAACCTAACCAAACCAGATGTAACCAAACCTAACCTGATGTAACCAAACCTAACCAGATGTAACCAAACCTAACCAGATGTAACTTAACCTAACCTGATGTCCTCCTAACCTAACCTAACCATATAATTAGTATACCAGTAAGCATATGGGATGTCACATATCAGAACATTAACGACTTGGAGACTGCCTCACCTAACCTAACCTAACCACCAGCATGATAAGGTTTCAATATCGTAATGTTCACAACTTCGTGAGAAATGTGATGCCTTACTATAACAATTGCTACTGAACCTCCTGAGTACACCAACAAAGATTTCTCGGGTATTATTTGTTTATCCCCCTCAAGTACGATGCTTGTTTAACATGTTGACAAATGCTTCTGTACAGGACGAAAAACCTTGAGTTATGTTAGTAATCTTTAGAGTATGATTACCAATTTCTGTACGTCAATTATTTACTATTTTAAGTACGATTAATTAAGTTCTTGTGTGCGATTGCTTATTTTTCATTACAATAATTATGTTTCTTCACTATGATCAATTAAAATTCGATTGATTTAATCCTCGTAGTGCTGTACTGCGGACGAGTTATTACTCCCCATACTCCCCCAGTTAGTTCTATGTACAGTATAGCACCAGCTACAATCAAATAACATAAATTCAATCAACGAAAATTTAATTTAAAGTTACTCGGAAAATGTGCGGGAAACAGAAAAGCTGGGAAAGAAAATTTTGGATCAGCAAGGGGCGGCTAGTGCATGTTGGGCACGGTTGTCATCGGCAGCTCCCCCCAGCCTTCAGCTGCAGGCGCGTCCACACCCGGCGCTCACAATTTTATTTTATTTTTATTGCTTGTAATCAACGAGTCTCCACTTGTATTTATTTTTTTACCTTGACCAAATCCAGCAGCGGAATGCATTTCTCTCTAAAATATATCGTCTCTCTCTGTCTCTCTCAATATATATATATATATATATATATATATATATATATATATATATATATATATATATATATATATATATATATATATATATATATATATATATATATATATATATATATATATATATGTGTGTGTGTGTGTGTTAACTTTCAAGAGTAGAACGCTTTTTGTTTACATTTTGTCAGGTCCACTGCCACAGAGTGCAGTAGAGTAGTACCCCCTTACACCCCCACCGTTCTCTTCGTTATGTGATGCACTCTGAGCTATACGATTCAATACACTAAAGGACTTATTTCTAGTGGAAATACATAAAACTATATAATGATGGACCATTTTTAGACCATTAATAGCTTCATAGATTAGACGATTGATAGTAAAAAACAAATCGTGGAAAATGAGACCATTAATAAGACCACACAAACTATCTCAGGCCAGAGTTAAGGTAAACATGTACTTGGCTTGTGTAAATAACGACTAGAATATAATTATCCTTCCATGAATAATTGACTCATGTTGGTTAAAGCTGAGGTGATCATTATAAAGAGCGGAGGTTAAACGAGAACTTGACTTCAAGTTTCACCTGTTCACATGACACTGTATCTAGATGGAATTTATTTTGCAGTACAAAGTATTTTGAACATTTTATGAATTAATTAAGCTGTTTAATTAAATAATATTCTGATTAGTATTTGAATTTTATGCTAATTTATGCAAATTACTCTGACATTAATATATAATTTTACCAGGGAATGATCACAGTTACCAGAATGCTGTTTTTCCCTTAACAGTCTCGCGACCAAGGTTAGCAAGTACAGTACAATATTAGGCACTCTCACCCACCAAGTTCCCGTGTTTTATATTACAATGTATTACTTCACTTTAAGCGCGTATCCTGGGTTAGAATATACATTAGTCATTAACAAATAAAAATTAAGAGATACAAACTATCTCCCTGGGCGCAGCTCTTCACGCCACCAACTACAGCGGCCACACGGGTACCAGGGTTCCTGACACACTACTCTATAGCATGTGTCGTGACCTTAATTTACCTCATTAATGGTAAATTCCTGTCTCCTAGTCACCGCCCATTTGATTGTATTATAATGTCTAATACAGTGTGAAGTATTTTGTGATTATTGTACATTTTACAAGTACCCCTGAATAATTCATCTTAACGGCTTATATTTGTAATCTGAAATCCATTGGTAAACGCTTTACTTATTATCATTAATAATAATAATATTATTATTATTATTATTATTATTATTATTATAGCGGAGTTCGAGATTTAGAGAATCCTGTAGGAATACCAGCCCACCAATACTCGTGAAGTGAGGCCCTTACATTATACCGACCAGGAGTTTTTGCACCTTGAACTCTTTCCCTAACTGGCTTAATTAAGATATAATAAAGATACTGGTGAGATTGAAGTCGAATTTGTCCTGAGGCTTAGCCATAACTAATATATTTGCTTATTATTCTTTACTAACAACAATAAACGTGTGAAACCTTGAAAAACATATTGGGAGAGAAACGAAACTCACTAAGAACGTCAACAAATATTGCTTTATACCCTCCGTTAGATGGGAACAATGCAGGGACCTCATAATGAGCGTTTCTGCCTCATTCCTCATCGCAATGTGAGTACACTCTTTCTTGCCTCCTCATGACACTCATGAAAATAATGAGTGGAAAAATGTCCTTCAACGACTGGGAGCCTTAACGAGGCATCAGGTTCAATGGTTGGCAATGGTCGGGGTCCGGCTGTTGCACTTGCAGTTCCCGCTGCTGCTAAGGGCGGCAGTCTTGTAGCCCAACGAAGGAACGGTGGCCTCATTAAGAGTGTCGCAGATTTTCATTAGTGGACGCATTAACTCGTCAAACACGGGGAGTCAACACGTCATCAAAGGCCACCACCAATCCCCGCCCAGCATTTAATATCCTCGGC